TATTGCACTTAAAAAATCTTCATTTTGTTTGCACACAATTTAAACACAAAACACAAATATATTTTTCATTATAATAATTCTGTTAATAGACTATTAATTCAATTCGCGATTAATTCCGGATTTGTTTCAATAATGAATTACTCCTTTAATTGTGTCACAAATATTCAGTTGAGGTGTCCGTTAATCCCATGGCTTTTCAGCGACTAATTAATCCAATTCTTGCGCACAATTCGTCTCATCATTACATTTGTGTTGATTTCCTGTTTCACAGAATATTCTCGAGTGATATGAAAATGTAATGCAATCTCATTACAAAAATGCCGTTTTGTAATCAATTATTAAACGATTCAATTGGCGTGGAAGTCAACGGAATATTTGGTGAATATTCTTTTCAATTAAAAGATATTTCATCAGAAATGGTGTTAATTCTTGGTTTATAACAATTGCTAAATATATATATAAAGTAGATATATATATATATCTCATGTCTTTGCAGACATTTTAATCACTTCTTTCATTAAATATTTAGTCCTTTTGTTTGGAAATACAAATCAAAATTCGCTTTTGTTATAAATTTTAAATTAACGTGAATTTCGGTCGAAAATCATTAATATAAAATTGCAGACATTTTAATCACTTCTTTCATTAAATATTTAGTCCTTTTGTTTGGAAATACAAATCAAAATTCGCTTTTGTTATAAATTTTAAATTAACGTGAATTTCGGTCGAAAATCATTAATATAAATAACATTTTAAATTTCATTCATATTTATATTCATATTATTAGATATTCTTCAGACAATTGTCGGGATATTAAGTGTGAGGTTTCGTTTGGTTTTCAGTGAACAGTAATGTCTTGACTGGTAATGACATACATAACAAAACTTTGTTTAGTTTTTCAAAATACATTTAAAACAAACAAAACTTAATATATATTTATATATAATTCACGAATCGGTTTATAGTTTTTTGTGGAAAATGTATTCATATTTAAAATGTCAATCAATTTTCAATATATATTATTATATATTTATATCAATATTATAGTAATTATTAATATAATAATAATTAAAATTTTGTTTTCATTGTGTGATATATATAAAGAGAATATTCTTTAAATTTTCCATTTATTATAATTAATTTATTTAATAATCGAAAGGCGTTTCCAAATATTGTTGAATATATTTAAAAATTGAATTTTAAGTTTGGATTCAATCAATCATTTATTAAATAATATGTGTAAATATGAGACCAGAGTTTGAGACAAAAATCAAACCAAACTTTAAATGCATATATCTATACATCAGAGGAGAGACCAGACTATAAATTGGTTCAAAAACTTAGTTTTTCTTCATTTGCTTTTCACGAATAATATGGAGAGAAATGGAGAGCAAAACAATCGTTCAATTGTTATACAGTTATCCAAATGATTGGAGATTGTCTTCAAAAATCATATTTATATTCAAATATCTCTTAATCGCAAATAATTTTACAACAATTTTGGCGCAAAATGAAGAGATGAGTGAATAATAATAATAAAGAAACCATTCGTTAAAAAACCAATAAAACGGATAAATATTATACAAAATGTCTTATCGTAAGGAAATAAGATGTCTTCATATCATACGAAACATTGGATGCGATTTATAAACAAATCAATTGATAATTATTAGTCATATTTACGGGAGTTTTGGATCAAATGAATCGTCTTTTACATCGAATTTTGAAGTCGTTTTGTGGGAGAAATGAATAGTAATGTCGAGAGTTTTACTTCAATATTAATTTGTCGGGTTTTGTCTCAAATAATTTGTAATTAATATGCGTTTGAAAATTGGTTTCAATTAGCTATCGATAGACTTGTCTGTTGGCGGGGGTGGCGGTGCGTCCTTTCGGGGCGGCATTCGTTCGTTCATTTTGTCCAAACCTTTCGCCTCTTCAAAACTGGCGATCTTGTGGTGCGGCGAGAAGCCGGCCAACGCTGGAGGGAAGGGAAGGGGAGGTCAGTGACAGTCAGTGATAGTCAAGACAGGACTCACCGTTTCTGAGAGTGTGTTTTCCGCCCGAGAGGGCACCCAATGGCAGCGTTCCGGTGGGTGTGAGGCCTTTAAGCTGAAGAACACTTTCGGACTCCTCCCTGAGCACTGAGAAGACCCTGGCCATTTTGCCGATCGCGCGGATCTTGTTGCGGATCACTTCCTTTCTGGCCGACGCTATACCATCTCAACGACAAATGTTTGCGTAAAATATTTTGCGTCCATTTGATAGGCATTCAAATCAATGGTTTCATGAATTGCGTGTTAATTGCAAAACAAATTAAGAAAGCGTTTTGTTTGCCAATCATTGCGTCATTGAAATCATAAGAAAGCGAAACACAAATAAAGAGAAACGAAATTAGTGTTGAAATTAGTGTTGAATTCATGCGCAGACTATTGCCGTTATAAGCAAAGTGTGCGACTCTTAGGCGTCGGAAAGTGTGTTGCAATCAACGGAAACCCCACCCGTGTTAGTGATTACACTCTCAACAGCGCTTTGAACGGCTTTCCCGCACTTACTGCCGGTTCGCGCCGTTCAAGTAGTGAGAGTGTGCGCAACGAAGGTGTGGTCAGTGGTTGCCAACAATACGTACCCTCCAACTCACTCTCAAAACTCTCCTCCCCTTCGGTGATGAGCTCGTCGTCCGAACAGATGTTCAGCAAATTGACTAACATTTCGGTCACCTTTTCCCCCACGAAAGGCAGAGACCACGTGAACACGTCCATGAAGTTGGGCAGCCAATAGGGGTGCGGCGAGCAATTGAATTGTCGGATATTCATCACGTTGTTCTCGTACTTGAGAACGGCTGCCTTGTTGTTGTAGACGTCCAGGTAATTGGGCGCCGAGAAGATCGTGATCAGCGACGGGAAGCCCGTCACCACCGACTTCCGGTACATCCGGTAGCTGCGGACAGAACGTCATTAGAGGTCATGGTCAGTAAACAGCGAGGGAATGCCTACCCGGCGTCCTGTGCCTCGTGCGCGCGGATTATGGATAATAAGTTATTTTGCTGTAAGAACTCACAGCACGCGCCGTAAGAGTAGAAGTAAGAACAGCCGCGAACAGAGTTATGCGTGAAGTGCT